TAACTTATAGAGGTGTCATGTGATGCCTAAATGGAGGCACTCAGTGCTTAATTTGAGCCAGATCTTGCCAGAACAGGATCCAGGAACTCTCTTATTTTGACAGGGTGCTTTCCGGTAACTGTTTGCTCGGCTCCAGCATGGATCCTATAACTCTCAGGCTTACTAATAATAAAGTTATGAACAAATATGACTGCCTTGAATGAATAAAACTTATATGCAAACTGAAAACTGTCGCTTATCCTGTCTAGGATGAGTCCCAATGATGTGGGCTGTAGCAACAGCCCTCAGCCCATCTAGATAGTTTTTTGTTAACTTTTTGTCTACTTTTTTGTAGTAATTTTGGCCTGGTGGGACTGGTTTTTCTGTTTTCACTTTTTCTTTTGTAATAGGTGTTTTATTAGGTGTTTTCTTGTTTAAGTCCATTGACAGCAGTGGCTTCGACGGCCCTGTGTAGGGTTAGCCCGCTGCTGTACCTTTTTGTTCTGTTTGACCGGCTCACCAGGTCCATCTTTCAGGTGATACTTTGGGTTTTTGTGTGTTTTTGCTGGACACTGGAATTGGGGGTTCATAATAATCTCTTTTTTCATACCTGCAGGAAGCTGCTTTAAATAAATTGAAAGTTTGAACCCTCATGTTTTGAGTCCGTGTCCTCCTTAATGTATTATGTTTTGGTGGACATAACATATTAATGGGGGCTCGTCCGGGACTTGAACCCAGGACATCTCACAAATATCTCAAACTGCTGGACCTAATGTAATTAACCTTTCAATAAATATGTCTTTGAAAAACATCTACAACAAATTATCTTTTGGAAACCATCCATTTAAAGATGGTTGCTAAATCCAATTGAAATCAGCCAACACAAATGAGCTACTCAGATACTGGGCTAAAATTTGGTGTGGTAGTAGCTGAGAGTCATTCCCAACACATACACTTAGCATGACAGCTCATGATATCACATGAGATGCCACGTTTTTAATTTGTCGACCAGAAAATCTACAACTTTGTCATTTCTCATCGTGATGATTTTAGTTTCAACTCTGTCCTGAAAGGTGGCGGGCGACATGCATTCTATTGCTTTATATTAGAAATGTTTTTCTGACAGTTTATATTTGTCTTTATGCTAATTTTCTCTGCTTGATAATATTTTTGATACAACTTTATTTTTGCTGTAAATGCAGACGAAGCCAAAACATTGGAACTTTAGCCTGATTTACGTTTAACTCAGAATCCAAACTACTTTACAATCAATTTACCAAAAAATAAAACTGTTTCCTCATAACATGTCGTAACGTCATGTCGTTAGTGTGTTATGTTTGATTTTCATTTATTTTGGTTCGCTTTCTGCCATGAGTTTATGTTTGTTTATGAGATTTCAGATGTCATTCAGATGCACTGTAATTGAATAAACAAAGACTAGGATATTTATTGTATGAAACAAAAAGAGTAGTTTTTTTTTTTCAGGTCACATTGTTCTGCTTACTAATCATCAGAACAGACTGTTTTCATCGAAAAAATTTCCTGTTGACAGGATGTTCTGTGTTAAACCAGCAAGAAATGGAAAACTTATTCTGGAACGCTTCAGTTTTCTGTTAATTTCGCAAAAATGTTTTTGCCTTCATAAATCTGACTTTGACAACATAAACCAAAAATACACCACCAACCCACACACACTATAAGTTTTTTTTTTTTATTGAGGTAAAAAAACAACTAACTACTTTGTAGGTTACTTTCATCTATTTATTAATAAAAGAAATGCTGGATTATTTAAAAGGTATAAATTTAAAGCTTTAAAAACAATCATCAGTTGATGCAGTGCTCAGAGAGTCAAAGGTAGATGAGCTCGTAAGTAGCCAATATAGTACTGCAAAAAACTTATTATCAAGTTTACTTTACTTCTACTTTTCTATTTTAAAGATAATTAAGGATTTTTTAAATCATTTTATTGTTTGCTCTGCAAATGTTATGGGAAAAAAGTTTCCCAAAACACATTAGTCATCAAAATCGAGGTTTATTTCCTAAGAAATCCTTCCTAATTTAGGTAAATATTCAGATTTATGTGTTTAAAATATGACATGTATTTATGATTTAAACAAATATGATAAATTCATCAGACAATACTTTTCTGCTGACTTTTGTGGAGCTTCAGCTGCATCATCTCCACACAGATGACTGAAAAAAAAACTGGTTATTTGCAGTTATTAAATAAAAAAATAAAAAATTGATTCTTTTTTTATTATCAAAGACATTGCATTTCCGGTGAAAATGCAGCATGAATGCTTATTTGTAGAAGAACTTGCTGAAAAACAGCTGAAATTAGCTATTAAAAAAACATGCTGATATTGCAGAACAATCTTAAATTACCAGAAGAAAGCAAAAAGAACACATATTTGCTGAATTAGGTTTAAAAAAGCAGAAATTCGCACAAAAATAAAAAATAGCAAAAAAAAAAAAAAAAAGGAATTAACAAAAAAGAAATCTAAAAAGTAGTTGAAAAGGTCGAATGCAGCTTAAGCTACTGTAGAAAGTGGAAAAAGCAGAAATGAGCTAAAAAAAAAAGTGGAATTAGCTGAAAAGGCTCAAATTAGCATGAAGAAGCTAAATAGTAGCTGAAATAACTGAAACTAGTGGAAATAGGCTGAAAGGAGCATAACAAGCTGAAATTAGCATAAAGAAGTTAATTAGGCTGAAAGTAGCAGAAATTACCACAAAAATTTAAATTGATCAGAAAACAGCTGAAATTTGCTTAAAATGCTACAAGTTAGCTTAAAAGGTAGAACAAACTTAAATTAGCAGATGAAAGCAGAAAGAACACGTTGGCCCAATAAGGCTTAAAGAAAATTGCCAAAAACAGCTGAAAAGTAGCTAAATAAGCAGAAACAGGCTTAAATTACAAGAAGGAAGCAGAAATGGCACATTTTTGCTGAATTAGGCTGAAAACAATTTAAATCTGTGCAAACAATGTGGAATTGGAAAGAAAAATGGAACACAATAGTGTGAATGCTTCATAATGCTTCATAAAGGCGTCATAAGCTTTCACACAATAAAAACTTCTGAGCTGCCTAAGATTGTGCATCTGAGTGGAAGATTGGTGTCAAACTTTCCAGTTGTTGCAGAGCGATTCTTAGCTCATCCGTCAATATAAGTGACACTCAACCATTTCTTTAATTTATTTTTATAACGGATGACTGGAAGCAAACAGTTTAACAAGATTAAACACAATTTTCCCTATTAACCCTTTATACAAACATATAAGCCGGTGAGTACAATGACAATAAAAAAAGTTTTCATTCAAGTTACCTGGCACACAGACAGACTACCTTCATCCCAAATGTTTTCCAAATTCCTGTCATATTCATCTAGTGATAAATGCTGACATGCACGATGACCTTTTCTGTGCTGTGACAGGTGTGCTCATAAGTCCAGGTGGTACATGTTCGAACAGCTGGGCCAGCGCCCAGAGATGACTTCAGAACAAGAGACAATCCTACCATTGCTGGCAGGCTTAAAAGGCAGCCAAGCAGCAGCAGGGTGGGGTTACAGGTTCAAACCGTGCCAGTGATTATGTTGACCCAGAGCTGTGGAAAATATTAGAAATATGAACTGATGCCATAAAGGGTGCTAATTTTCATCCCTCCGAGCAAAAATAAAATTTATCTTATAGTTCAGGTTAAAAGCTGCAGTAGAAATATGCCCAGTGTACCTGCAGGATCCCAACATGTAAGCTGGAGCAGAGAAATAAAATTCCACTGGCCTGCAAGGACATGACTCCTTCTTTCCCTCTTCACTCTCTGTCCCACTTACTCTCCACAAACGTTCCAGAACCTCTCACACTCCAGTAAATGAGCTCACATTGACCATCCAACTGAACCACGTCTCCATATTCGGATATTCCCTGGAGCTCTGCTTCTTCTACTTCTGCAGAGTCGTTTAGAGGGACAACTTGATGACATGCAAGTGGAGACGCACACACGAAGAATCAGCTGATGCCTCCAAACTTCCACTGGTCAGCAGTGTTTTGTTGGGATTGCACTTGGAAGCTTTCTGGGAGCAGATTTGCAGGAAATTCGCATGAATGCTCTGAGAAAGTTTAAATAACTTGAGAAAAACATCACAATAAAACGTTGCTGTACACTAAATGCATTTAGTTGACTAAATGCATTTAGTTGACTAAATGCTCACATTTCAGAAGCTATAGTTCATTTAACATGATAGATGGATCTACTGGAGGCGGAGAGGGGAAACAGGAGAGTCTGGCTTTAGTATTTCACTCAGCCTCCTCCTTTCCAAAACTCCTCACACTTTACGATTCATTTCTCATATTTTGAGAACATTTTTTCCCTCCTGTCTGGAGAATGCAGGATTCTTTCTCTGAAAATGGATTTTACAAACAGCTCCTCTCCTCAGAAACTTTTAAAACATCTCTGCAGATACAATTTGCAGTCGACGTTTGCCCAAAAATAAAATTTGAAAAAGGCTGCGCCTCTGATTAAAAAAAGAGTCTCAAAGTGCTTTCTGACTAGATTGTGGTTTAAAAATATTTTGGGATAATTAATATTAGCTTAAGGGTGACAGAAGAAATAATTTTGACAGAAAATAAGCTGCAGTTTTCACAGGCAGGTCATTTATCACCACTTCCAGCTCGATTAGCCACTAGCCTGGCACCAAACCACCCATAGGAAACTTTTTTCCTCTCCACACCACTGCAGATTGAAATTTGTCATCATATCCTAACAACTGGAGCCATTCACAGCTTCTTCAGCAAATGATGAGGCTTTTCAAGGGCTGAATCTTATTTTCTACCAAAAAGCAAAACGATGCAACAACTGTCAGCCAATATTTTCTGCAACTTAGTCCAAACTAAACTGAAAAACAGAATGAGTTGAGTCACATATTTTATATGGGAAAACCAATTGAGCTTTACATTTTTTTTTTTTTTTTGCAGTTGAGTGCAAAAGATGCACCGGCTGAAATTAGCTAAAGAAGTTGTATATCTTTACCTGTCCATCCGCACCTTGAAGCGCAAAATGTAACAAACAGCGCCAGGAGCGTCCTGCTTGCGGCTCGAGCCATGGTGGAAGTGGCGCAGCTGTGGAGCCGCGCAACAGCTGGATGCAGAGGGCTGAGACCAACTCCCTCCTCCCCCCTCCTGATGGGAAACCTGTTGTCCATTGATCTATATCAAAAAGAAGAAGAAGGGGAAAAAAAGCTCTGTTTGCAACTATTCTACAATTTAGAGGGAGATTTTTTTTTATTCATTTAAATATGCATCTATTTGAAACCAAAGTGTATTTTAAGTCCTTGACTTAGTTACAGGTGCTGCAGGGTTTGTTCTAAAAAATGACTAAATGTCTCCCTCTGCTGGACATTCTCTGAATTAACCTCAAATGGACAAAATTACAACGTCTTAGTGTGTGAGCGTTAAGGAGTATACTTTACCTCACCAGATCTTGTCTAAACACTTTATCTATCTATCTATCTATCTATCTATCTATCTATCTATCTATCTATCTATCTATCTATCTATCTATCTATCTA